ACTTAATGGATGGAAGTGTCTTCCTAGTATAGCAAATGGGACAAATTTAGAAACAAGGCTAACAAGATGTTTTGAATATGTTTGTTTTTATATGATTGTGGGAAATCTGGAAAGCAGATGGGCACATGGATTTGAATCTCAGGTGAGGGTTGGAGTTTGAGATGCAGACTTGGAAATCACCAAACAGGGGAGGAGAAGTCATGGAGTAAACAAGATCAAACACTGATAGAAAAGTGTTAGGGTTGAATTGTGTCCTCCCTTAAAGATGTTGAAGCCCTAACCTCATATCTGTGAATGTGACCTTATTTTGGAAATAGAATAAGATCTTTGTCATGATCAAGTTAAGATGAGATCATTGGGGTAACTCCTAATCAATATGACTGTGTGGTTATATAAAGAAGAAATTTAGATGCAGAAACAGACACACATACAGGGAGAATGCCCTGTGAAGAAGAAGACAGAGATTGGGATGATGCCTGTACAAGTGGAGGAATGACAAAGATTATCAGCAAACCACCAGAAACTACCGAAGGGCAGCATGGAACAGGCACTTGCTTACAGGCTTCAGAAGGAACGAACTCTGATGACACCCTGATCTCAGACTTCCAGTCTTCAGAACTGGGAGATAATACCTTTCTGTGGTTTAAACCACAGTCTGTGACACTTTGTTAAAGCAGCTCTAGGAAACTAATACAAACAGGTTGCATATGCATGGAGTATTCAAGGATGATTGGTGATGATTGAAAGGAGACTATTTATTCAAAAATGTGCCTGGCAGTCAGAGAATCAGGAAAGGCTATTACAAGGCTATTCCAAGCATGAGCATATGAACAGCCACGGAGGTAGAAGAAAGGAAACACCAGCAGTTTGCACTGACCTCATCACAAGCTGCCGCCATGGAGCGATGGGAGAAAGAGATCTGCCCATGAAAGTCCCTATAAAATGGACAATAGCAAGTTTCACCTTAGAGTTCATACAGAGCAGCCAAAGGTTCAAGGGAATGATTACATCCATTTTGTGTTCTTAAATGTTATGTTCTGCAAATATGGTGACAATGGCAACATCATTCTTTAGTCTACCAAAATTATCAAATTAAAATAGGCAGAGCAACTAGGTTGACAAAACTGAAGAATTGTGGATGATAAAACAGTGTTGAGACACCCCCGTAACTACCTAGAGACAAATTAGTGACAACGTATAAGAGCCAATGTGATATCAACAACCATGCAGGAGAAAGTAGAGGGAAGACCCTGAGAACCAGACACTCCCTGGGAAGTGCCCTGAACCAAGCTCAGAGGAGCAGGAGAGACGTGGAGGGAGGGCGTTCTCAATAATCCAATGCAGGGGTGAGTCCAAGGAGGCCACAGTACAACCAAATCTGATGCTACTGGAGCGGGCTGTGTCCTTTAATCCCATTAACTAAGAAACTGAAGGCCTTTCCCAAACAAGTCTCCATACTGAGGAGAATCTGCTGGGAACAGATTCCAAACGGAGCAGCACAGGGACAACCACGAGAGATGAAAGAGAATGTCCAAATAAAAGCGGGGAGGAGCAGAGGCAGCTGATAGCAGAAAGTAACAAGTGATTCTGTTTACCACTCATGAGAACGCCAGAAGAGTGTGTTAGAGCTGTGAAACCAGCTCAGCTATCCTGGCCCACTCATCCCTCCTAAAAGTATAGGAAACTAAACTAACTTTTAAAACTTAACAACAAGAAAATTACCAATTATTACAATGAAAAGAAAGTAAGAAGACGTATGATGTTTCTGTAGACAATGAAACAAAAAAGGAAAACACACAAACATGAACAACATGGATAAAAATCATAAGCAAATACTTCTAAATGAGCTGAAAGAAAGTTTTTAAATTGTAAAAGCTATGAAGAATAATATAAATCAGAATTAGAAAAATTTGTAAAAGAAATAAGTAGAAAAAAGTAATATATGACACAAAGGATGATGGATAGAACTCATCAGAATAGAATTTTTTTTTTTTTTTTTCCTGGAGATGGAGTTTCTTTCTTATTGCCCAGGCTGGAGTGCAATGGCGCGATCTCGGCTCACTGCAACCTCCGCCTCCCGGGTTCAAGTGATTCTCCTGTCTCAGGCTCCTGAGTAGCTGGGATTACAAGCATGCACCACCAAGCCCGACTAATTTTTGTATTTTTTTTATTATACTTTAAGTTCTAGGGTACATGTGCACAACGTGCAGGTTTGTTACATATGCATACATGTGCCATGTTAGTGTGCTGCACCCATCAACTCGTCATTTACATCAGGTATAACTCCCAATGCCATCCCTCCCCCCTCCCCGCTCCCCACAATAGGCCCTGGTGTGTGATGTTCCCCTTCCCGTGTCCAGGTGATCTCATACTTTTTGTATTTTTAATAGAGAGAGATTTCATCATATTGGTCAGGCTGGTCTTGAACTCCTGACCTCAGGTGATCCACCCACCTCGGCCTCCCAAAGTGCTGGGATTACAGGTGTGAGCCACTATGCCCGGCCTAGAATTTTATATTAAAAAAAAAAGAAAAAAAGCAGGACAGAAATGAAAACTCAACTAGAAGGGATATGGCACTATACATACACCATAATTAGAAGATGAGTAGAAGATGAAGAGGAGGAAAAAATTTAAAATCAAGAAGAAATTTGAGATTAGAAGGATTCAAGAGAAACTGTTAGACACAGAATAAAGAAGATATAGCATATATCATCAATAGGAGGCCTCCAAGGAGAAAGACAAAGCGATGGATTAGAAAAAATACTGAATGCTATCGTTCAAGAAAAATTAAAAATACACATGGGAACCTGAAGCTACATAATGAAGATACATATCACATTCTTCAGAAAATTGATGCAGAACAGCCGATATCTAATAAAACCATAGATCTCTAAAAAGAAACAGAATATGCTTGGGACATCCAAGCAAAAAGATCAAGTAGCTTATAAGAGAATGAATATCAGATTTCTTTCAGACTTTTCCATAAGAACACGAGGCTAGTAAACAACGAAGTGACAGAGTTAAAGTGCTCAAATAAATAAATTGCAGATCTTGGACCTTGCATGGAATATGCATGAATTCTACATCCATCTAGCCTAACCTTTCGGTGAAAAGGTTGCTTGGATTTTCTGCTCCTGCACTTCCTTGCTGTATCCCTGCTATCCTTCGCTCTTGGCATCTGAGAATCTTTGCACTGGGTAAATGCAGTTCATTCACAGACTCTAAGAGTGGGTACCAATCTCCAACTAAAACTGAAACTTTCAGGTCTATGTAACCAAAAGAGCCTATACTCACCCAAGGCAAGATTGATAACAATATACTGTTATAAATATGCAAGAGCTCAGGTAATATTGTCTCTATGTACATTTCTTGAGGGATCTACCACAGAGCAAGCTCCAGACAACCAAATACTGTAGAGACATTGGCAAGAGAGCTGGAGAAGTATTCTAACAACTAAGTGAAGATCGATGATGGCCTCTGAATATCACCATTTTGCAACCTTGATTGCAATATCGTCAGTATATGGTAAGATCATAAAATAGAACAACTAACCCTGATGTGCTTCCTGATGAAAGTACACAACATCACCCACCGAAGACAATCAAACTTAAAGCTGATCAAAATTCTAACACTAATTACCCGTTTGCAGAAAACACAAAGGATGGATATGTTCACCACACCATGCAAATGCAATCATTAAAATCAAGACAATGAAAAATACACAAGAAATTTAAAAAGACATGGAAGGGTAATTCATGTTGTAAAAAGGACTTAAGATACATATCAAATAATCATCATATGTGGATCCTGTTTGGACTGCATTTCAAACTTCAAAAATTGTGATAATCAGGAAAATATGAACACTGAGGATTTGATACTATTAAGAAATTACTGTCTTTATTTGTAAGTGTGATCACAATACTGGTTTTAAAATTATTTTTAATAAAATACTTATAGATGAAATAGGGCAATGCCTGAGATTTGCTTTAAAATATTTTGGTGACAGGAAGTAAGTGGAGGTACAAATGAAAAAGATTGGCAATATGTTGATAACTCCAGTTGATGCTTAAACAATACGAGTTTGAACTATGCAGGTCTACTTATAGGCAGATTTTATTCCACCTCTACCACCCTTGAGACAGCAAAACCAATCTCTCCTCTTCCTCCTCAGCCTATTCAATGTAAAGATCATGATGAAGACATTTATGATCCACTTCGACTTAATGGATAGTTAATATATTTTCTCTTCCTCATGATTTTCTTAATATTTTCTTTTCTCTTACTTTATTGTAGGAATACAGTATATAATACACATAGAAAATATGTGTTGATATTTATGTTATCGATAAGGCTTCCAGTCAACTATAGGCTATTAGTGAAGTGGAGAGTCAAAAATTATATGCAGATTTTCAACTACATTCAACTACTACAAACTGCATTTCAACTCCCAATCCTCACTGTTCAAGGATCAACTGTACTTAACCTGAGTGAAGGGTATAGTGGATGCATTACTTTATTTTTTCTCCTTTTGCATATGTTTGGAATTTTCAATAATAAAAAGTGGTTTTTAAAGGCATAAGAAGGTTTACATGCACATATATTTTGGTGCTTCAGGCTTTCATTGTGTCCTAGGAGAAACCCCCTCATGAACACTGTTGGGCACATAGAGAAACTGACAAAAAAGAATGTATGTAGACCTTTAAAGTAGCAAACCCATTCTCCACCTGAGTTTCCACCACATTCCACCTCACGCTTCTTCATATTGCAATTGAGCAGAATGTCTTTATGAGGACTAAAATTGCGCTGACTTCTCAAAGTGAGCATTTACAAATATGGGTACTCTTAAGCAGTTAACGTTGGACTTTAACTCATAAGCCCCCGAGGTAATTGTTTCTTGTGCTAGCTTGCATATGGTGGCTTGCAGAAAAGAACAACCCTGGAGTTTGAATTATAAACTATCATCACTCATCTCTTTCTTATTCTCCATGTTTTCTTTCTAGATATTTCCACACAATATACTTAGGTATTCGAAGTCGACAGAGTGGGGAGAATGACAGATGGAGGTTTTACTGGAAAATGGTATATGAGTATGCGGATGTGAGTATGCTGCATTTGCTAGCCACCTTTCTGGAAAGTGCTCCACAGCTGGTCCTGCAGCTCTGCATTATCGTACAGACTCATAGCTTACAGGCCCTCCAAGGTAAGGGCTTGCAATTTGGTTTTGGAATTTGGGGAAAGATTGACTGGCTACTTTTGTCACAATCCGAGCAACTGTCCTAATGCCCTTTGTTGACATAGACCTGTGATATGTCTGCTGTTTTACATGTGTTTTGTGAATGATGCATGATGTTTTCCTACCATTGCTTCTCATGACTGATTAATTGAAAGACAGGGCATTTTTGCTCTCCAGCTGCCCTCTTAGTAGGAAAAAAAATCTTTATGATTTTACACTTGGTCGATATGGGGATAAAGTCAGTCAACTGAGGCTTTCTGGTTTTTATAATGGAATAATTTCCAAAAGTTGCAAAGAAAGCAGTAGCGCTCTCTCTCTCTCTAATATACATATGTGTGTACGTATGTGTGTGTGTGTATATAGTATTAGAGTAATTCCTACTATTTCCTTTTGATGTTAAGAGAGACAGAGAGAGAGAGAGAGAGACAATTAGAAAAAGAGATTAAAAGGAAGTGGTAGAGATTACCCTAATATTTAAGGAAAGAAGGTCATATGGGAAAAAAAGTTGTCAATGTTTATTAATATTTATATACTATGATGTTTTATAAAATGGATATTATTATCAGATTAATATCTTTGTGCTCTCCCATATTTGATGATCTCATCAGTAGGACTATTCCAGTTACAGCAGAGCTTCCAGGCATTTCCTTAGAGCCTGCTGCTCAAATCCTTTCTAGAATAAGTTAGCAAGATTAGACAGACTGGTGGGTAGGCAGATGAATACATGGGCACACGGATGATGGATAAGAGAGCATTTTCTAAGGAAAGCATTTCCTATTAATTTGTCAATCCTGTAACTAAATAGATGCTGTTAAACAGTTAAGTACTGTAAAGTGCTCGTTTTGTTTGGATCTCAGCAGGGCCTCTGTGCGCCCCTCTGGGCACATGCTGCTCCCTTGTGCAAGATGGGTCATGCTCCAACTTGAGTTTTATTCTGGTTGGTCTGGGGAATCTCCTCACTGTCCTTATAACTTTTTATGGCATGGAGCATGTTAGTTTAAGCTGAGTGCTTTAGTTTGGGGGACAGAATCAGGGCGCATGTTACCTGCATAGGAAAAGAAAGAGAAAATGTGTACTGGTAGCTGGTGACCCATTTATTCATAGATTCCTGGCCCAACCCTGGTTTCACAATAGAATAGCTTTGGTCCAAGAAGTTTGAGAAGAATGTCAAAGAGATCCACGATGTATGTTTCTCAGCTGCTGGAAAGCAAATTGGGAGAAGAGGAAAGTGGAGTATTTGCACAGAAAAACAGAAAAGCACAGAGAAGGCAGAAGGCCGTGTGAATTAGTTGTGGATGACTGTGTTTCGTGGTGTCTGGTGGTTGAAGACCATGAGCTAGGCATGCGGAGGCCTGGGCTCTGGTTGTCTCACTACCTCACTATAAAACCTCGCACAGCCACTTAATCTCTCTGGGCCCCAGGTTGCTCATATGTAAAGGTCACAAGTTAAACTGGATGATTTCTAAACTCCCTGACAACTCTATTCAATCTTTGAATCGATGAATTCCCAATAGGCATATAATGCCTGGTATATGCTTTAGGAAATGATCTGTAAGCCAGAATACAAATGAAATTGAAAGGCAACATCAAACTAAATCTCTGTCAAAGAATTTAGTGCTCATCTCCAGAACAACTTGGCAACTCCTTAGTACAATTATACAGTTGGGAACTCTGTAGAGGGGGAAAATTCAGGAGCACACGTGCAAGGTTGCAAGTCACCTTCTGATGGCCTGAGGTCACTGAGTGTCTCTACTAGTTTTCTAAAATATTTGGAAAATTATGGAGAGGTTTTTCTTACAAAGATGATGGAGATAGAGAAGGGAAGGTGAGAGAGGGATCTAAGAAAATGAGGTCACATTTTCAGTTTAAGAACAATATATAAAATTGTACAGAAAAAAAATGTGGAAAATGCAATCCTTAGTTTTAATCAGATTATTCATCCTAAACATAGCAGCCAAGTGTTGAGTTATGTTTTCTGAGTCTCTGGCTCTTTCCTGACATCTAGTGTCCCCAGCTAACCGACTAAGCTTGACACAAGTATGTCAGGTGTACTGTAGGCGCTGAATGCCAGACCTCGTCCTTAGCCAAGGCAAGCCTTGCCGTCAAGTTTCAGAATGGCGTAGGGAAACTATGTTCTGTTTCATTCCCAAGGTGGTCAAAAGATAGGTTGATCCAAATATCACTAAGGATCAGTGCAAGTCATTGAGTCAAGAGGAGGAATAAGCCCACTACCTTGATCTTATTGCTACTGATTTTTAACAAGGGAGGTGGGTAGACAGTTGTGTTACAAAACAAAGAGTGAAAATATCTGACAGTAAAAAACAATGACAAACCCTCCAGCCAAGGAAGACCAGCCCATGAAACACCATGTGATTCCTTTTGCATTTTGAAGAGACAACTGTCTTCAGAGGGATGGCTTCTAAATACCCCTCTGCTGATAGATGATCCCACTTACAAACAAACCAGCTGATAAATTAAATTGATGTGAGTTCTAAGAACAGAGCAGTTTCCCTTTAGGAAAAGAAAAATAAATGTAATAACCTAGTTTGACATGTGTTTTCCAACATCTTCAATGGTTAAAAAAAATTATTGGGATTTACATGTGAAAACGCAGCCCTCTGCTCTGAATTAAATAATCAATAGGCATGAAATCTGTAAAGGATTTGCAGATAGCTCTGAATTAAAATCTCTAAACCATTCTTATTTAGCAGGGAGAGAATGATCACTCTGCATGTGACTGTCTAAAATTACTGTTTTTTAGGATAGAAGGATAATTGCTCTTTAAACCCAACTTCAACCATCCACCACTCTCTGCAGTGTTTTTAAAACAATAAGAAAAATCAGACAAGAAATATGACATTTTATAACTGATGCTAGAAATTGTATTCTCTTTGTGGAAGCTGGGTAGCCCTAGAACGCTGTCAGCTGCTGTGAAAATCTTTCTGCTTCTCCTTCCTTATGGAGTCACTTAGTCAGAGGAGCCTCCTCATGCTGGAGGCTGACAGGCTCAGGGAGAACTGTTGGAGCATAATTGTTCCTCCATTTGCACTGGCCCAGGAGGGACAGTTTGGAGTCTGTTCTGAGAGCAGGAATGAGGGTAAAGCTGAGTCTTGAACCTGAACATCCAGCTCTTCACACTCCACAGTCACCTTGGACATATTATAGGGCAGCAGCTGCTCTCCACGGGATCTGGGATGTCCCAGAGCCAGCTCCCTGCGGAGTGTAAGATACACACTAGGAGGCCTGACTGCATGCACGGCTGTACCTGCACAGGGTAATGCTCTCTGTACTTCCAGAGAGTTTCCAGTTTACACGCCGTTATGGTTTTCCAGTCCCAATCCCACATCCTCACAAGGAGAGAGGGAGAAAGGAGAGAGATGGGTGTTGAGAGGGGGAGAGGACGGCAGGCAGGAAGGAAAATGGGATGGGGAGAAGGAGGGAGGGAGACCCCACTCGACAGTGGAGATGGACCGTGGCATTTCTGTTAGTGTCCACGTGGAGGGCGCTGCTCTCTACCTGTTTAGTGAGGGCGACAAAGATGCTAAGGAAGATGTGGTCTGAGGCCTGTCAGTTGTATCTTCAAGCAAAATCTCACACTCATTCATTTCACCTCATTTCTACTGTGCTCACCCGGCCGGACCACATGCACCCCCACCCAGACCCCTGTGGCTGGCCCACAGCTTCATCCTCACCCCTGCCCTCTTCATTCCCTTCTCCTTGGAGTGGTCCTAGAGCCGCTTAGACTCTAATCTAAACCACTTCAGTGTTCCTCTTGACACTCATTAAAATTAAACAAGATTCCTGAGCAAGTTCCAAGGCCTTTGTGTCACAGCCTTCTCCTCATTAGTCACTGCTCTGCAACCACGCTGCACTCCTCTCTCTTCTGAAAATGTTCCCATTTCTCTCCCACCTCCAGGCCTTTGCACCTGTTATTAACCTCTCCAGAATATTCTCGTCCCCTCTCTCTTAGCCTGTCTAGTTCTTACTCATCCTACAGAATTCAGCTTCACCTCTTCAGCGTATCCAGTCCTAACTGCTCATTCACATTTTTATTTCCACATTAGTATTTCCTCAAGGTATCCTGAACTTCAGCCCCCGACCTCAGGTAATTTTCTTATTGTTGTTAAGCTTCAATTTGCCCATGAATACTGAGGGATAGTAATAGTGCTAATTCATAGGATCCTCGAGATTAAATGAGAGAGTACACACAAAGGATTCGGCAGACCCTTGGCCCAGCGCATAGGGCTTCTTCGGCTTGATCTTGCAGAAATCTACCAGGGAATCTTATGGAAACGCAAATTCTCACTGAATAGGTCTCAGGTGTGGCATGAGTTTTAGAACAGGAAAGTTTTAGAATCAGGTGAAGAATTTGATGGCATGTGAAAACGGGAAAAATAGTTCAAATTTGAGCTCATGAACCCTGAATTAAGGGGTGTGTGTTAGAAAGGAAGTGCAAGAAACATTGTGAAGAGAGAATGGTCAGGTCTTTTGACAGACAGAGCATGGACCAAAAGAGACCGAAGCTTGAGTCCATTTGACTGAGAGAGAACCTGGTGACAATAAAACCAAGCAGGTCAGCAGGAGCAGCTACTTAGGGGGAGAGCATTTTAGACATTTTAAGCCTGAAATGGTGGAGGACAATCAAGTTAAAAAGTCTTCAGACTGCAAAAAACAAAGACAGCTTAAGATAAGTTACCCAGAATTTCAGACCTCCGTGTCTGTCTAAATGACGCCAGCAAAGGTAAAAAGTTCATGGTCCGAGTTACCTCATCGGGACTTTTTGATGACCCCAAGAACCTGTAAAATGCGCAGTCAGTTTTAGTTTTGTGATTGTCGTATTATGAATAGTTTATTTTGGTTGCAAAGACCCATGATTGGCAGAGAAGATACCAATTCACGTACAGACAGCTGCACACAGCCTTCCTCAGCAATACAGTTTTGCTCAGAGCTCCCTGGGGTCAAAGGGT